CCCCCACAGATTGAAGGTTTTTTATAACAGTGTGTAATTCATGTTCACTTGATTTTAACTTGCCCCGGTTAACTCAAGTCCAATAAATAAAGTAGTAAACAACCCATTCAATAAACGCTGCGTTCTTTTAAGGGTTATTTTTACTTTTATCAAATCATTTCAGCGTAAATAATTAATCAATTCCTTTCAATTTTGATGTTTGGACGCCTCACGACTATTCTTTGATTGGYATGACTAGATATCATGAAAACTTTGAAAAGATTCTCACTTACTAAATTAACGGATCAAATGCATATTTTGCCATGCGAGTTCGAGGTCTATGTTGGTTGGTGTGTCAATTGTTGTTCCGTTCTTTCTTGGAAATCGTTGAAATGTGAAACGACAAAAGATTGACTCAGGGGGTTTGAGTGCGTGTCACACTGCCAAGAATCCCTAGAATGTCGAGAGAAGCCCTCATGCATTGAAAATGAATGTTAGAGTCCTGTGAGAATATAATCACAAGCAAGGCGAGTCAAAATTCCAAAGCTAGTCGTCGATAGCGTTCCTAATAAACTCTTCTTTTTCAAGAGAGGAGGTTTATTTAACCTTCGCTATTCTGGCGACAGCCATGCATGATAACTATAGTTTTAGCGGGTCAACTCTGTATGACGGCGAGGGACAGAGTGCTAAAGACCTACGGCATTACAGAGGGGTAAGTCCAAGTCACCAATAAACCGAATACTAAATCCTTGCTTTCAAGCTAATATTCGAATTAGATAACAACACCAATTGGATAAATAAAATAATATATATATATATATAAAGTACCGTAGCAATGTCGCATATTGACATGCAAGAGAATTGAACGAAGAAGGTTGCTGCTAAACAGCTGTTTTAAGATTGGTTCGCCATAAAAATGCTTTTTGTGCTAACATCGTAGTTTAGTTGTAGATACATGTGACCAATAGTTCTTGTACGACAGTTTATTTGTCTCGTGTTTTTAAAATTATTGTGTACATCATTTTTACCGAGTTGATAAACTTGATGAAGCGTACACCTGTAATGAATGACCCTGAGAACTTCAAAATCTAATTTACTGTTATAACAGAACAGATATGAAACAAATCCCATAACTAAACTGAGTCAATTTTTTTCTCACTTATACTCATGGGCATGGGCGAAAAAATATTCAGCTTCTTGACTAAAAGTAATTTTTATTTTCAATGTTATGGAGTTTATACGGTTGTTGTCACGAACATTTCCTTAGAAATTTATTTTTTCTTACAAAATAATGCCCAATTTTCATTGGGTAGGCATTTTTTAGTCTTTGGGATAGAAAATAACCATGTGTGTTTTTTTTTTCAGAAAAAAAAAAGAATTGAAATTTTTTTCTCATGAACGATAGTGAAATCACGCTTGAAAAATAACTCGTTTGACGTCATCAATATTTGTTAATTACGCAAACTAGTCAAGCACAATTCAAGTAATCTATCAGTCAGTATTACAGCTCTAAAACCAAAAAAAAAAACTTCAAAAATTGTGTATTATTATTGTAACGTTATTCCCATAACATGTTGCGTGACAGAAGCCTAAAACTATTATGGATTTTAATCAAATTTAAAAAAACGATAAATTATTTAAAATGTGATTATCATTTTTGCATGAAGAGTTTGGGGAATGATGGTTATGTTATGTTAAATGTTGTCCAAGTCTCCGACTATTGAATCTTGATTTTTATGTAAGAAGAAGGATCTTGATATGCTGTTTATATAGAAAGAAATGCAAATGAACACAATTTTGTATCAGATTTACAACACTCTTCACGGTCCTGATTTCTGTTCTGTTTTCCTCATGAATTATTAATGAGTTTGATAACAAATTATGACTTCAAAAGCTCATCGAGCACTGAAGACTCTTGTTACAGTATGGAAAAGGGGTTTTTATATATCGTACTATGATGAGGGGAGCTACCTTTTTTGGAATAGGGATCTTTTTTTAAGATAAAAAAACACTTAGGCCCCGTCCACACTATGCCGGATAAATTTGAATCTGAATTTTTATTTCTTCGGTTCCATTTCGAAAATTCGTTTTCGGTGAAGAATTGTTCCGGATTCGCCCGGACTAGTGTGGACGGTAGGCCTAACCGAATTAGTAAGAATTCGGATTCAAACTTATCCGGCATAGTGTAGACGGGGCCTTAGCAGTACCTAGCATGCTGACATTGACCATGCCTATTGATGGGTTGCAAGCATTCCCAAGAGCCGAGTCAAAAGACAAGGACATGGCGGCCATTGTGGTGCCGTTAACAATGGATGTTAATGAGAAATCGTTTGTTAGATGGCACCAACATGGCCGCGATGACGTAACGCGCAATCAAAGAATCATAGGTCGTAGATATTGCTAATCATTCCAATTTAATTTAATCATATTTTACTTTGAAATATGTCATGTTACGCCGGGCTGTCATATAAATAAACTATTAAGGGGTGACTGGGAGCAAAATCAAAAATGTCCAAAGCATGCGTAAATTAGAGACTGCTATTTTCAAGCTTCATTTTCATCAGGTTACCACCCAATTCCTGACCCCCTCAATCTAAAAAAGGATTTTCACAAATGTCACCCTTGATTATACTTTTCAGAAGAGCAAAAAGACGTGGATTGCRTCTCACTTCGCCAGGAGAGAATGTATTCGCTTTGTTGAGAAGCCGAATAAAGATGGGGCGGATAAAAGCGGGTAAGAATATCTGATTCCATCAGTAATGATGGTTGGACGGACGGACGGAGGGGTGGGTGGGTGGGAGAATGGATGGATGGAGAAATAATGAATGAATGAATATAAATGGACATACATATCATTTTGGTATCAGGGATCCCGAATGTTGCTGTGGTCGTAAGAAATCAAGACACAAGCAATCATCTTTGAATGCAGACCCGACATTGACTGAATGGACACCAGAGCGATGCACCAAACGACTTCCTACTAACGCATATGGCGAGATAGACTTCCAGGGAACTGGTTCACAGAAGAGAGCACCGGTCAGTCCTTTTATTGCTTGAGAAATTCCGATAAACCTTAGTTTAGGGTGGAGGGGTGGGGGGGAATCAGAGTGCTGGGGCACGGCTACGTCACGATCACGGTGCGGCACGCATTGTGCATCCGACRCATTAAGGCGCAATAACACGGAGCAATTTGGTCTGCAACTTGTCTCGCAACRGCGTTGTGAAACAAGKTGYATRRRGCWTTGYAGCGTCGTGTAACCTACAGCGCAATTTGAAAAATGTTGTGAGACAAGTTGCATCAGCAAYCGTAAAATTCGTTTCTACTTTAGGCAACGATTGCGTTTCCGTTGCACTGTTTAAACACTCTTGCAACTTGTGTCGTAACGCTGAGACAAGTTGCAGAGAAAATTGCTCCGTGTATGTTCATATAATAAGTAATTATTGTTTTTAGCATGGGGCTGTAATTTTAGGGATGGGTTACTTATTTTACGAGCTGGGTTGGGTGTGTTACCTCGTAGGGAACATAGTGTTCTGTTGTCAATAAAAATRAAAATAGATACATAAATGATTGTAGGTAAAACACAAAAGTGGAAATCAAAAAAGACAGCTAAAGAGGGAATAATTCGTCTCTCAGCTCTGGGTTTGCATAATAAAAATATTTAAATTAATACACTTTTCTTCCAGTATATTCGAGTGTCACACGACACAGACGCCAATCAGCTGCTCGATCTGATGCTTAAACGATGGGACCTCGAGATACCTAATTTGGTCATCTCTGTTACGGGTGGCGCCAAAAGTTTTGTGCTCAAACCTCGTCTGAAGGAGGTGTTTAGGAGAGGTTTGGTGAAAGCCGCAAAGACTACCGGTGCATGGATTATAACAGGCAAGTTAACCATTGGTGAAATGTAAARAAGCTAGTGGTTTTAGGTATATGCAGAGAGAGTGTGAGCTCAGCTGGCGAATATGAGGATCAATGCGGAATTTCATTGYGGAAAGGGTTGAACAYCTTGAAGAATCTCTCRAAGTGAGCTAATTAAGTGTGAGCATTGAAACTATTGGTGAGGTTAGAGGTGAGAGAGCTACCCGTGCAGTGTTGYGTAGTGTGCAAATGAAACCAATTTAACAAAATTTCATGAAGAAGGTTGAGCTTCACCGTCGTCACCTGTTCAGACCGGACATGCAGTTAGTTACAGGGTCATTCAAGCCACGTGTTTTTCACGAGCTATCATTGTTGTAACAGAGTATGGTTAACTGTGTCTATGTGTATATCAGGTGGTACTAATGCAGGAGTAATGAAACATGTTGGWGAGGCCGTCAGAGAACAACAACTAATGCTTGGCGTTGACTCAGAAGTAAACGTCATTGGCATTGCTTCCTGGGGTATCGTGGATAAACAGAAAGCTCTCATTCAAGCCAAGGTACAACAATCTGTTTTCAAGCCACATTTTCCTGTCTTCCCTCCACACTTTTCTACCTCCTTTTTTTTGATGTTCCCCATTTTTCCCCGTCTCTCCCCTCCTACTCAGTCGTTCAGTATGCATCAGCACAATTGCTTTCTCCCTAAAAACTCTTAACACTAGCGTAGGGAGGGGGTACGTACCCCCCCCCCCCCAAAGACCCCCCCCCAAAAGTTTTCTTTTGGCACTAAGATATAATTAATTCATGCGGGATTCCTGTGAATTGGCGAAGGAAATGGTAAAATTGGCTGATCGTTTGTCTTGTTGACTAACTTGCAGGGAGAGAATGGTCGATATCCTGCCGTTTACAACATGGAGCCGACAGAAGGATGGAAAGGTGCAATGCTGGATTCTAATCACTCGCACTTTATCCTTGTCGACAATGGAACTTATTGCRAATATGGTGTTGAGATAAGTCTGCGGTCAGTTTTTGAAGAAGCCATCATGAAGTTGCAGACGGACTCACGGTCCAAATCCGGTAATAACGTCTTTATATCACTCACTGATTCCTTATCTGTTAATCAGTATGTTTGGGGTTCCTGTGGTACTCATTGCGATATAGGAGTTTCTGTAGTATATACTCACTGGTAACAGGGTTGAAARATGAGAGCGGTGGTGTACAGAATTTATTGAAAGTTAAGAAAAGTTCGATATCAACCAATGCCTGAGGTTTTCTTTTATTGTATGTAGAACTTTTGTACTGAAATGTTTTCCCTCGAAAAACCTCGACCAGTTTTCGTGTTAGAAGGGAAGTTTTCAAGCGGCCATGTTTGTTTTCTTTGAAAATTAAATGCATTAAATGCTCACTGGTTCTTTATGTTTTATGCAGGATCAATTGGGGTTCCTGTGGTACTGCTAGTTTTGGAAGGAGGGCCAAACACRATACAAACAATGTACGAACTAATCAAGAAGAAGGTCCCAGCAGTAGTGATTGATGGCAGTGGTAGAGCAGCAAATGTAGTCGCGTTCGCTTACGGTCACACCATCAAGAAATGGTTAGTAATCTGAACTGAGCCACATTGTTCCCGTACTCTTCTMCCTCCCTCTCTTCCACTCCTGTAAAATATGGAAATGTAATTTGTTTTACGTCATGAACGTGCAAGGAGTGATCGATTGCTCAGTCTTCCGAGRCAGAGGCTTATGACTAAAGCGCTCGACGCCAGATGCGGGAATTGAAATTTAGAATTCAGTTGATTTGGTATTGGTGAGAGGCGGTGCATTAGCAGCGCAGGCCACTCTTGTCTCCCTATTTTTTTGGCAAATGTAGGGTGAATCCCAATACATTAAAACTTATAACGATTTTGCACAGCGTTGATGGGCAGACGATCTGCGTGATTGACCCAGCYTACGAAGACCAAGTCAAGGAAAAAGTCACAGAAGTCTTCTCGTTCCTTGGTGAGAGTGGTGTGAACAGATTGTTTAAACAGATCAAGGCGGTACTTGAAGACGAAAAAATGGTAAGAACTGAGAACAATAGATAAACTGCGCCGCTACAAAACTCAAAATATGTCACATGACTTTGTATTCGGAACCGCAGAGGGGTAGGCTGCGCGGCCTTTTGCTCCCCATTCCGGCCTATGATCCGATATTTGCAACAAGAGTTATTAATGCATTACTAAAAGTCATAAAACTATTTGKAAATTCTTAAATATATCCTACGATCAAACCACTCGTCCCTTGACTATATCAGTCCCGGGTAAGTGTCGAGTATCAAAAAAGGGCCGGTATCTCTCTCTAAAGGAAGAACATTATTGTTCATGCATTCAAATATTTAACTCATATTTTCATTTAAAATTCCAGGTRTCAGTTTATCGGCTTGACGATGGTGCTATATCACAAGAAATCGACTTGGCGATCCTTAAGGCTTTGCTCAAAGGTAATCGGTTTTGAATTCTTCCACGTAAATGTTGGGGGGAGGGGGGGGGGTGGCGGAGCTCTGACTAATAGTCATTATTTGTTTCTCCTATAGATTCTAAACTACACTTTTGGAATTAGTATTTTGGATTTTTTTCTTATGTTACTTAGGATTATCTCTGGCCTTGCAAAGCCGGAAGGATCCCTCCTTACCAACCCTTCGTATGAGTTACCATTTCATTTAGTATTTCACTTACTTCACTATCAAGAGAATATGAACTAAGAGAAGGAATCCTACCTATATAGCCTTGTAACCATCATGTGCACAGTTTGATGCTATTTTTAGCTTGGAGATATTTTGAGCGAAGAACCTGAWTGGTGGATTTCTTGAGGGTAGGCGGCTTCCAGTCTTTTCAGTAAACAAAAGCCTGTGTTTTTGTCGTGGACGAAACGAAATATGGCGCTTTTCGTGTCCTAAAACGAGGCATTWAAGGGAARCAKGATTATCGCGCGGGTATGGTAACGAGTTAAAAATAGCATCAATGATTAAAAATAGCATCAAACTGTGCACATGATGGGGCACRGGGATTCCTTCTCTTAGTTCATATTCTCTTGTCATTATCCTTTGCCGATCATWTTTTCTTCTTTGTTCTTCAGCCAATCGGTCAAGTCCATTGGCTCAGCTGAACCTGGCCCTTGCATGGAACAGAATTGACTTGGCGAAGAGTGATATTTTTACTGAAGACCGAATATGGACGGTCAGCTAATGTTTAGTTTTTATCTTCTTTTTTTTTTACTTCTATATTCCATTTCTCTTTTTATTTCCAGTCTTGTATTTGCATTATCGCGTTTTAATTTTATTTTCCATTCGAGTGCCACACTCTCTACGTGTACCAAACCCTTTCCCTTTTCCAATCAGTTACTCTATTTTATWTATATCAGTCGAATATTTTAAAAATTTTATTCTTAATATTCTCAGTTTTCATTTTCCTGTATCCTGTATCACTTAGTTTGACTCTAGTGWAACGTGTTTGTTTTTGCTATCGATCAGACTGAGCAGTTATCAGGACCAATGCTAACAGCACTGCTTGATGACAAAGCAGACTTCGCCGAGCTGTTCCTCAGCAGTGGTCTTAGCATGAGCGAGTTTCTTAGTACAGAAATCCTCTGTCAACTGTATGCGGGGGTAAGTCACTGCATAACTCACTGTGTCACTTTCCAAATTCATCACCCCAATCTTTCCAATAGCCCAGAAGGGAGATCGAGAGGGAGGGASGGACGGAGGAGGAATCACCGCTGTGTTTCCTATGAAAGCCTTCTGACTCCAAGKATATTAGCGTACGTGGGCGAAACTAAGTGCTTAGTGAACCAATTACTTATTTTATCTATCTATTTGAAATGYTTTTAAAAAGAAAAACATGAATCTTGTTGTAAGTCGCTGGATACTAAGATATMAGTAACGAGGTATTGTTGCCTAACTGTCATTCTCGTTTACTCAGGTACCACCCAACAGTACCATCAAGCCCATACTTCAAGATGAAATGGTATGCATATAACACAACCATTATCTCGTGTAAAAGGAATATCGTGGTATAGTTTTGGAGAGTAGGAGGAACTACTTAAACCTAGAAATAGATTCCCTGACTAGGACCATTCTTTTAACTACCCATTTCTTAATAAATCATTCGGAAGTCGTTCTAATTCTAATAAGTTGTTAWTTATCTTCAGCAAAACCGTCAAGTGAGCTCCATCGATATGCAGGTTGTAGGCGGGGTGATAGAAAAACTCATGGGCGATATGTACCGAAGTCATTACCTCAGAGACGCTTGTTACTCTAGTGATCCGGACTCAGGCCCGCAGAACAATGGTGGGGGCATGACTCTTAAAAGAATGATGAGCAAATCTTCTATACCAGGTACAGTC